TAGTTTTCTATACTTTCTAAGCAATCAGAGTCACTTCAAACAAATGTAAGCTGACATCACTGAGCTCCCAAGTAAACCAAATGTCTAGGCAAACATATCCATTAACCAATTGGATAAAGGCCAGTGAAAATGTCTTTTCTATAGGATTTTTTTTTTTTTTTTTTTTGAGACAGAGTCTCACTCTGTTGCCCAGGCTATAGTGCCGTGGCATCAGCCTAGCTCACAGCAACCTCAAACTCCTGGGCTCAAACGATCCTACTGCCTCAGCCTCCCGAGTAGCTGGGACTACAGGCATGCACCACCATGCTCAGCTAATTTTTTCTATACAGTTTTTAGTTGTCCTAGGATTTTTCTTTAAACATTATTAAACAATGTTCTTTACATAAGATTCACAAGGTGCGACAGCAAGATTGGGGTTGTGTCAGAACCTCATGTTAAAAAGAACAGTGACTATGAAAGTGGCTGCCTTCCTAAGGAGTAAGGATAAATGATAACAAAAATGAATACTGATAATGATAAACTGCTGCTAATTGGGGCCAATGTCTCTGGTGAGCTGTCACAAGTCAGCAGAAAATTATAATCCTATTCCTTTTGCTAGTGATTTTTATAAAATAAATAATATTTGATTCTTCAGAAATACCTGACAAATGCTGAAACTAAATGTTGGTTCTCATTCAAATGCCAAAAATTTGGGGATAGTCAGAGGGCTAAAATTTAAAATTTAAAATTTTATATTTAAAATTAGAAAATGATTTCTCAAATCAAGAATACTTTCAATTATTGATTAGGAATTCCTAAATTCTGCATAATAAACTACTCACTGTATTTTCTCTATTCTAGTACAAAAAATAAAAAAGTAGTTTATAGAAGACTAGTAGATCTAAATGTCATTATGAACTACAGTTGACTCTTAAACAACACGGGTCCACTTACATGCAAATTTTCTTCTGCCTCTGCCACCCTTGAGACAGCAAGACCAACCTTCCTCTTCCTCCTCCTCCTCCTCAGCCTACTCTACGTGAAGATGATGAGGATGAAGACCTTTAGGAAGATCCACTTCCACTTAATGAACAGTAAATATGTTTTCTCTTCCTTGTGATTTTCTTAATAACATTTTCTTTCCTCTATCTTACTCTATTGTAAGAATACAGTATACAACACATATAACAGACAAAATATGTGTTAATCAACTGTTTATGTTATTGGTAGGGCTTTGTCAACAGGAGGCTATGAGTAGTTAAGTTTTTGGGAAGTCAAAATTTATATGTGGATTTTTTACTGTAGGGGGGTCTGTGCCCCAATCCCTATGTTGTTTAAGGGTCAATTGTACACAGATATGAGACAGACTCATTTCTAAAACCATTTTATATCTATCTTTGCTTTGCTGTTTTCTTTTTCCTTTTTGGTGAATGCTATCTTGCATTTCATACATCCTTACAAACTACCTTAAAATACTCCTGGAAGGAAGGGAGAATAAAAATAGAATAAACATACTAACATATTTGTAGCCAAAAAGATTCAAATTAAAGGAACACTTCTAGTTACACAGACACGTAGAAAGTGTTTTTTTGAGAGCTGGGCTGGGCCTAGGTACAGTTCAGTAGGAGAACTTGTCAACCTCTGAAGAGTCTTTTTGATCTGGGATTCTATTAAATGTATTTGCTTATTTACCAAAAGACAGGCACATTACAGTTCTTAATTAACAAAAGTATTATAATAAAGAGGAATTGGGGATGGGAATGACATGGTTTAACATGGTTTAACCTTGCAAATCTCTCCTTCTGGTGATCATTTTCAAAGACATGTTACAAAAACAGTGCAGGTGCCTATAAGCCAAAGCTGTGTCTTCATCCCATGATGTCCCATGACTTACCATGCGTGCCCGAAATACTGCGGGAATGAAGGACTGGTTAGATAGGTTGAGAATCCTGGAAGAGTCTTTCAGGACATAGATAGTGCCAAAATCAACTTGAGGGGGATGTACGTGGATAACTGGGCCTTGTCCGAAGCTCTTTAAGTGACATACCTGAGTTCCACATGAGAGAAAGAACATAGGAACAGATGGAAATGGCTAGTCTTTAAAATCAGTTAAAACAGAAGCTTCTAGCCACCCCTATAATAAAGAGTAGGGGCATAAAATGGTGCCTATGAGAAGACATCCCTTCCCCCCAGTGCTCTGGTCACAGGGGAACAGATGGCCATGCTGGGTCAGGGCTGTGAATCTAGGCTGGGAATCCTCCCCAAGGAGGATGGTCTGCTTCCCCAGGTCAGCACAGAGCCGTGCACTGAAGGGAAACCAGAATCTTGGGCCCCCACATCCCCCGCAGCACTCTAGCCTCAAGAACACTTAGTATGGGGTTAAGGGCCAGCACTCAGAGTCAGCTGTGTCTGGGTTTGAGTCCCAATTCTGTCGCTTTACAAGAGGCATGGCAGGCAGGGCAGGGCCACTGTACGCAGTTGTGTAGGATGCGGATTGAAATCCACTTTGCTCTGCTCCCCTCTCCCTGTGCCGTTGGCCAAGCCCTGGGGGTGTCTGCCCAAGGAAGGTGGGTCCTTTTCTTTCATAAAGTGCTGTCTGTTCAGCAAGCTACCCTCTCATGGGCTGCCTCTGTGCAGGGGGTGGGGCACCCTAGTAGGTGACCTGGACTCGTGGCACTTTTGGGGATTGGCCTGCTTTCGTGGTGCTGCTTTATAAGTCGGGTGGCAAACCTATGGCATCTGATATGGAAGAGATAAAAGAAAAATCCTAGTTTTCTATACTTTCTAAGCAATCAGAGTCACTTCAAACAAATGTAAGCTGACATCACCGAGCTCCCAAGTAAACCAAATGTCTAGGCATACACAGCCTGTTGGGCAACCTCCTTTAAGATCCAAGATTTATCTTTCAATTCAGCCCAAGCGGTGGTAAGTTTTCCACGTCTCCCTCTACCATGCGTGGAGAGAGACTATTTCTCTTAACAGCTTCAATAGGTTAATTTGGCCTATGAGCTGAGTTAAGATACAGGAAAAGACCACGTGAGCAGTGAAGGAAACCGATCTCACAGCCCGCATGTGACAAACTAGTGATACCCAAACCCAGCTTTGCAGCAGGAACAACGGAGGAGCTTGCTCAACATACAGATGTGCTGGCCCCTTTCCCTCAGAGATTCTGATTTAAAAGGTCTGGAGAGGGGTAAGGCATGTATGTTGTGTGTGTGTGTGTGTGTGTTTGTGTGTGTTTGTGTGTGTGTGTGTGTGTGTGTGTGTGAGAGAGAGAGGGAGAGAGAGAGAAAGAGAGAGAGAACCTTCTGATACTGTTAGGTTTAAGAACAATTGCTATAAAATACCACTTCTTTTAGATGTATCTGCAAATGGATTCCCCAAGGTAACAGCACTAGGATCTTACCACTGCATGGTGAAAATGTAAAGCTCTGGGACTCCAAACAACTGGAGCGTATGTGAATACGGCGTGGACCTTACGCGAGGAAACTCAGCATGATTGACAAGAGGTACAGCAATTTCGAGCGCAGCTCTGAAAATTGGCTCTCACCAGAGGGGGGTCCCAGCTCCCGAAGGTCGAGATGAGCATGGTGGACCTGTGCTCCCCAGTGACCTGGGTCTCCAGGGCTAGCGGTATGTGCACGGTGCCCTTGGGGGGGATGACCCCGAAGGAGACGGGGCTGGAGAACAGCACAGCAGGTGCATCCTCAGACACCTGGAGGGAGAGACAAGCCGGAGGGATGAGCGTGCCCACGGCGCAGTGTGGAACGAATATCATAGTAATTTATTTTGACATATGTGTTGTCCTGAGTCCACGGAGGTCCTTTAGAAATGTCTTATGGCTCAAGCAAGTAGCTGGGGATGAGCACCCCAATTCAGCCGAAAGGAAGTTTGGTTAAGTAGAGTATGCATAAGGCCGAAAATCCAAAGTGCCTAACAGAAATCATCCACAACATGAATTAGTTCAGCTTTCCACTGCCAGATTCCCTAACCTGGCCCTCCACACTCGCAAGTGTCACTCCCCACCACCTCGTCCCTTTGTGCTCCATCAACAGAGGCCACTGATAACCTCCCGCACACACGATGCTGCTTCCTGCCTCCCGCCCTTTGCGCTGTGGTGCCTCTTCCTAGAATGCCCGTTCCTGTCAGCCTACCTGGCACACTCTTCCTAGATTCCCCCACTCCAGTGCCCCTAGTGCTCTAGGGTGGGGGCTTTTCCTCTGTCCCCAGGGAGCATCCTGTGAAGTCCTTTTCCACGGCATGCACTGGACAGCACTGTAACCATCTACGTGTCCCTCTTCTCCATGGCTGTCAATTTCTTGGGGCAGTGCCTGGGTAACTCCTCTCGACAAGCCCACTTTCTGGCCCACTCAGTACATGTTTTGTTAAATGAGGGAATGAATGAATGAATCAATCAATGCTGACCAGTGTTTACCAATGGGTGTTTCTCAGAACCCTGTTCTGAAGCACATTATTAGCTTTTGTGCAACAATAACAAATAAAAATTTAAAAATCCCATTGAGAAATTCTGGGAAACGCTTCTCAGAGCCTCGGTTCCTCAGGAGAAAGACGGAGCATGCAGGTTTGACCCCATAGTCTTTCTGCATCGGGTCCGGCCTAACGCGCCCCACTCTAACTCAGCCTCCCTGCGCAGCAGTGTTTCGTCAAGCCCTTCTAGAGTCTCAGGCAAAAGGAGAAATTAGTCATGCTGATCCTACCTTTACCGAAGTTTTGATATTTTGCTCATTATGGGTCATTTTTGGAATTAATTTTCATTTTTTAGAATATGGCATGAAAATATTAAATATCTTGATTACTGTTTGCCTTCCCCTTAAATTTTGTGCCCAAGTCAAGTGTTTCACCCTCTTCCCAGCCCTGTTGTGTGGAAACTTCTTCCTCTGACCCCAAACGTAGGCTCTGCTGTGAGTGTGTGAGATGATCATGTGCTGGGCAGCATTGGTCTGTCCTGCTGTTGAGTGTCTGGGCGCTAGACTTTGTCTCCTGTCACTCCCACCCCTGGCTCCTGGTCCTGTCTCAGAGAAGCCCACAGAATAGTTCTAATTTTTTCTTTTACGTGACAACCCTGTGACTAGTGAAAGGTAGCTCTCTTACCCTAGCTACGTCTACTCTGCTCCAGATTAAACACTTGAATTGGTTCCTCATATGACTTGGATTTGTAGATGTCATGGACTGCCATTTTGGTTACTCTGAACATGATGCATTTTATTTTCAAGTTTCCATTTTAAAAAAATACAATGACGAGATCTGAAGACGAAATTCTGGCTATGTTCTGACTGGTGACTATCTCCTTCTTTTACCTGAACACTGTATTTCTCTGATGCAGCCTACACCCACATTGCGTCTCTGGCCCCCATATTGCTGTTTTTAACTAATATTGAACTTGTAGCCAAACAAAACCCCCATTTGATTTTTTTGCATGAATTTTTATTAGAGTACTGTACTTATATAACTTGGGTTTAAACTCAAATGCATTCTTGGTAAACTGCATCTCATTAGTAGCCTTCCATTGCTCTAGTCTATACAGATCTTTCTGAATTGTTTATCCATATGTATTTAACTGCTTTGTCTCCTACCTAGCTGGGTGTAGTGGCATGTGAAGAAATACATTTCATAAAACATTAAGAAGCAATTCCTCCCTTCTCATTCCTGTATTATCTCTAGCCTTCTGGTCTAACAAACTCACTTATAAATATTGCATTACTATATTTCACTGATGCCATTCAAGTCACAGCCATGGACATAATGAAAACTCCCAGCTCATTTTCCATGCATGGTTAATTCACAGGCAATTATTTGCAGGTGCAATTCTGCATGTTTGCTTAATTGACACTTTCCCTTCTTTATCGAGGGCAGTTTCCCTGGGGAATTAACAACTGTTTACACCTGCAGCTGCTCACTCATGCAGATGGCAATCCAGCTGTGACTTTATAGTCCCATCCTCAGACTATCCGGGGGTTAAAAATCAGAATTACATAAGGTCATGTGTTCAGGAATATGGCTATTTGGAAGGATTTCTCTTTCTCATCAAGAAAATGCAATGGAAGAAGAATTAATACCAAAGAAAGGTAAAGTAACTCACCTGAAGCAGAACCTCAAAGCATCCGGGTAGGTTATCTTCATTGACAAGCTGGACCGTTTTCTCATACGGGTACTTTAGGAAGCAGTGCCCAAAGTCCACCTCTGTATTAACCAAGCGTAGGGTCGGTACAACACACCTGCTCGAAGGAGCCCATTAAACAATTCAAAACAGAGAGCTTGTTTACATACACAGAACACAGAGTTCCAAGTTAAATACATTTGTCACTGTCACGTAGTAGTTTTTCTCTAATAACTACATTAGTCATTTTCAAATCTTCTCTCCTGTCATCCCTCTTGGCCCCTAGTCACCACTTTTTAATCAAAAAAGGACTAGAAGCAGAACTCTTCAAACTGCTGTCTTTGGTGGGTAATGACTCATATTTGCATTGTTTTTGCAGAGTTGGCTTCCTTTGGCAAGGAGTCCTCGTGGTGCAAATTCCTTAGGGTAGTGGGTAGTGATCCGTTTCCATGTCAGACAGGGCCAATGCCACCAGCATGGGGTCCTAACTAGCTGTGACACTTTGGACCAGTCGGAAAGTCCCCCAAGGACTAGCAATAGCTCACATCATCTAAATAATGGTAATAATTCTAATTCCTATGCAGAACAGCTGCTTGGATTAGCAGGCTCAGGCAGCTGCTGGGCCCAGAACTGGCACTGTGATGGTGGTTCTCAGTATGGAGATATGCAGGGGGTGGAGCCGGGGGGGAGAGGGAGGAAAGTTGTGTGCAGGGAACGGAGGAGTTGAAGCCCTGTGTTTGCAGCTGGCCTGTTATTAGGTGACCTGGCTTTCATTTGGTGTCTGTAACCCTCAGTGTCTAATGTGCCCTATGTCGTCGTGGCAATACAGTGCCATGGTGAAGAGTGCTGGCTTTTGAATTAGCAGAGCCAGGTTCAAATACTGACCTTACTAAGTACAACCTGTGTTACCTTGGGCAATTTGTTTTCTGTCTCAGAGTCCCATTTCTCTCACAGGTAAAATGAAGGTAATTCTAGGGATCGACATTGGCATTATGAACTCTTCTGAGGGCATTGTGGGAAATCCAGGAGCTAATGTGAATGAAGGGCATAGCCCAGTGCCAGGTTAAGTGCTCAGCGAGAGGTAGTGAACCCGGGGTGGAGGCCCAGCAAGCTGTCACTACTGGCTCTCTGGAGAGAGTTCCTTGAGGGTGCAGTTCTAAAAGCAACTCTTTTGTTGAGAGTGAGCAGTTCCTACACATTACATCAAAGATCATGACATGAAAGAGCCTTTCTTTAACCCCAGAGTTTGTGATTTAGCATGAGATGAATGTTCATTTTTAGCTAGAATGAAGTTGTCAGTTGACCCAATGACTTTCTTAAAGCTCACCCTTTACAGTCTGAAATAATACTGTGACTGAGAGAGTTTATAACATTTGACTTGGGTTACAGAGTATACATTAGTAGGAAACTCAGAGCCTCTTTAGACTTTTCTTTTAAATTCCAGATTTCCTATTGATAGTTGTAGGGTAACAGGGCTAGAAAGTATCAGAATGAGCCTGAACAGAAAAAAAATGCAAGACTAGACTACAAGGCAAACTCGGGTATACAAAGGATCAGCTGAAAGAGATTGTGCTGTTTTTAAACAAAGAAACAAAAACATTAGGTCTTGAAGGCATACTAAGTAGGTTAAGGCAATTTAATGGGTTCCCTGTGGATAGAGGAAATCTTAGTGAAAGTTCTTTTAGTGCTGTTATTTGTCTTCATCCAAGCCCAAGACACATGAAATGGTGCCAGTTACTATCTCCCAACCAACCAGCACATCCGTCCCTTCTTTAAGGTATATCTTCCCAAGATTCGTGAGAGACCTCAATTGTAGAGATTGACACATTAGTATTATCAGTTTTACTAACTCATTTTCTCTATTTCCTATACATAACCGTTTAATACAAACACTTTAAAGCCCCAGATGTGGACACTGTTTGCCTTGGGAAGAACGTGGCCCCTGATTTTATTTAGGATCATTCCTCATCACCACCCTCAGAACGACTGTAGCTTGGGCAAGGAGACACAGTCAACAAATGGCTGAGCCAGGATTTTAACCTGATCCCAGAGCCCATGGCTGCCTCTCTAAACAGAGAGCTGGTGATGGTTCTGAGGACTTTGTGTTGTTAGAGAGGAGTCTCATTCGGGCAGCCACTCATAGCCTGCAGCTCAAGTCACAGCAACAGTGTCCTGGACCAGGGACCTCTTGGCTAAATGGGTGTTCCACTACAGGACTGAGAGCAGCACCTTCCTGCTGCATAACTCTGGAGTAGTATATTGAAAGATAAAAATAAAAATAAAACCCAGTACCTCTTCACCTCTTCCTGCTAAAACCTTTCGGTTACAGACTTTGAAAGTCAGACCCACTCAAGAGCACGACTCCTATTCTCAGGGTTCTCTGCACTGTTCTCTGCAAAACACACACACAATCCTCCTTTTCTCCACCAAAGGTGCTTTAGATACATTTGCTGTTTTAAAGCTTTGTCATTTGAATATCAGACTCAACTTCTCTTCCCAGGAAGGCAGAAGGAATGCACCGTGCCCTGGCTGGCAGGTGAGCTGCCTCTGGGAGGCAGCCCCTTATGGGCTGGTCTGGGGAGCTCTGGAAAGGAGAGAGGCGAGCGCTACCTTGCTGTAATTAAGAGCGCCAGCACTTCTTCTCCGACGCCCTCCACGTCCACCACCAGTGCCAGCTCATATTTCTGCACGGTGTTGGAGCATAACGTCACCTGGAAAGAAAAAGGTGACAAGTTGCTCTTCTAAAAGGCTAGCGCTCTCTCTACACAGGGGAGAGAACAGCTGGAGGAGGACCTGCTCAGCATAATTTCTAAGTGCTTTGCGGGTGTATGTATGGCGTTCTCCATTTTTAGTGGAACGAGTTACATTGTGGGGTCAGGGCATGCCGGGTGTTTTCAAAGGCCAGGGTAGAAAGCAAATGGCTTTTAGTACAATGGGTTTGCTCATTTGTGAGGAGGTTTTATCAAAGAAGCTACATACCTGCATGAGGGGAAAAAAGGACCATGAAGGAGGAACAATATCAAACCAACTTTAATTATTGCAATTTAAATCATTCCCGGCACCTCTGGCCCATATGAATTATGGAAATTCAACATACTAATCAAACACTATAGTGAAATTTCTCTTACGGCAAAATAAACGAAAAGAACCATGTCAGTTCCAGAAAATGGCACAAGAAATCAATTAGTCTGTTTTACCAAAGTCTTGTCCCCTTGCTCATTCTTTATTAGAGCAGAAAATAGGAAGCTCCAAAGAAAGGTCTATTTGAGGATAATATCCAGTCAGAACAGTTTACCTGGTTTTTATTTGCTGCTATGAAACTTTACATTTAGGCTTTTGAAATCTTTGTTATAAATTTTAATTCCTTTAAAATGATTTGTACTGGAAGAGATACTTGTATGTCTAGAAAACAGCTTCTGGCATGGGTTAAGGCTTTTCTCTCTATAAATTATGTATCAGGTACTAATTAAAATTTTTTTGGTTGCAGAGGGAATCACTGAATGCAAATTTGAGTCCACACAGACTTGGCTGAAGTGTAGATCAGGAGAGAAAATTGAAGCTTGGAGAAAACTTTTTCAAATATAAATTGAAAATGAAGTTACTGATTCGGAAAGAAAACTTCAGATTTGGACAGAAACAGAGAATCCTTCTGTGCCTGTAATGGATGTATCGGGATGTGGCTAGAAGAAAGAAGCACAAGTGGTCCTGGCAGAAGGCTGCTAGAGAGATGCTCTGTCTTCTAAAGTCTTCCCATGCTATCTGGGAGGGACAACAAAATCAAAGGAAAGACAGGTAACATGTAGGCTGAGCACTGCTAAATAAAAAAGAAAGAAATCCATTGCAGCAGCACTGCTCCCAAGGAAGGTTCCAGTTAGCAATCCTGAGAGGTTATAATGACACATGTTATCAAACCTCATTAGACCTGTGGAGAGGCCCATGGAGGAGCCAAAAGCTCCTAGACATGATTTAGGATGAGTGGATTTGAGGTGAGATATTATGAGGCATTTACAACACATTTGGGGGATAAAATGACAGCTAGATTAAATATTCAATGACATAATGACTAAAGAGAAAATTGCCCACCTTAGCTAAGAAGTCTTTTTCCTTTCCCAGAAAGTGAAAAAATCGTTTCAATTTAGTAACCTTCAATACTGCTAGACTTAACTGTTGGGAGAAGCAAAAATGAGGGAAGACAGCTAGAACCTTTCTCAGCTAACCGTGAAATAATTTAGCTGGTGGCACCGTAAGGCCATAACAAAGGCATTGCACTGCCCTGATTTCAGACAAAACACGGAAGGGTGAAAAAGCAGCCTTCTCACTACACCCTGCGGACCTCAATATAAAGCACTGTTAGTAACATCACATCCACAATTTCCCATGAAGCCCAGATTCATGTGAACATCTGAACAAACTGGATATCATCTTTGGCATAAATGTCACTATTTGTTGGTATAAAGGATCTGAGTCTGAAGGAAAGAAGAACCTAAGTATCAGTGAGTTCTTGAATCTGTTTATATTAGTACCAATGGGTGTTCTGTCTGTATAGAGCAGTGGTTTCATTATCAATACCTAGAACTGACTCTTCTGTTGAAGGAAATGCATCTAGAGTAATGTAAAGCCACTGGAGCAGTTCCGGTTTCTTTGACCAATGTATTTGTGTCTGGTTTCTTTTGCTGCAGCAGTTCATTTCCTTATAGGCTCACTTTTCCATGTGAACTGACAGGCACTCCCTCCCGCTGACATTGGACATCACAGAGCAAACTCTATCATGGGGTCCCAATGGCTAGCTGGAGGTTCAGCTGCGTGGCTGTGTGTGCCAGAGGCTGTGCACCTTACCCTGATAGCAGCAAATCCCTGGGAGCGAATGGTGCCACAGTCAGGAGTGATGGTGAACTCTTTTGGTTTTATTGCAAGTATTTCTTCCTTGGTCCAAGATAGTCTTTTGTCGCCTGAATAATGCTCACAACTTGAAATGCTTTTACGGCCAAGGCCATCCCCAGGGACACGCAGTTTGAAGGTCATGGGGACCAAAGAAGTATTATTGAGGGAACATATCAAAGTATGAGGAAACCCTAGAAAACAAAATACGAGGTGAGAAATGAAAGCTCCCCAATAGCCTTTCTTGAGCTTCAACCTCCCCTAGAAATTGCCAAACTTCTTGAATAAATCGTCTGTGCAATTCATCACTACTTAACTCCAACTTGCCCTAAATATTGTTTTCAGTCTCACAATCGATAAATACATTTTCATTCACTCATTCATCCACTTATGCATTCATCCAATGAATATTTATTATGCATTTACTATGTAGCAGGCTAAACAGCAGATACAAAACAAACCTCTTGGTCATCATCCAGGCCCCTCCTAAGACGCCATCTCTATTATTAGTTTGCTGAACAGTCTTGCAGAAGTATTTTTTGCATTTATTTTTTGCATAAAAATACATTTTTTTACATGGAAGCATGCTTGCTCTTTTTATTTGCCAATGTGTGGAAGGAGAAACCTGCATGGTTTTACCCACTGAGGGACCCAGAGCCTGTCAAGACATGATAGAATTTGTTCTAGGGTTGTCTGAGGATTCTGCTCTCAGCGTTGATGACACAATATTGAATAATAGCCTCTCCCAAGAGAGACTTGGCAACCTACTTTCAAGCCAGCCAGAGACTTAACAACTGCCTTTTCCTCCTTTAGCCAAAGCTGCTTTGTCCTGTCATACCCAGCCCTCCTATGTTCAGTTCGGTGAGACTCGTGCTCCTTTCTTAAGAGATGTGGCTCTTCCTTGGCTGGCAGAAAATAAACTGAGCTCTGATATTGGATCCCCTAGGTGGCCATTGGATCTGCTACCATTTTCAGAACAAGAAGAATTATCCATAACCATAGGAGAACAAAAATGCATACTTCTATTAGACACAAATGCTACTCTTCTACCTTGAACGCTACCGCAATAAAATAAAATCAGTCTCTTAGAGTAATGACTGTTACCGCAGTAGGTATTTTCAACCCATCTACTTATATCTCATCCTTTGTCTACACGTTAGGGCCACTGAAGGAAACACATTCATGTCTCCTTTGTGATACCACATCTGCCAACATACTTGGAAGAGATCTTTTATGGAAAAAGAATGGTCAGATTAAGTGCACACGAAGGGTTATTCTTGGAAATTCCAGAGGAACTGCTAGAAAGTCAGTTTCATAATCATGTAATTACAAGTGACATTTCTGAACTTGCCCAATAATGACTCTCGAACCTGTAGATGTCTTACCTTTATTTTACCTGACCAGTCATGAGTTAAATGTTCTATGAATGTAAAGTGTATTATGGAAAGGGGGTCCTATAAAGATTCAGATGGGTCTTCCAAATCATTGACCAGACTACTTCCCTGAAGCCAGTAGTTTTTCATAGAATAAAGCCAATTATAACCTCCTACTTAGAATAATTCCTTGTATAGTACCTGTAATACTGCACGATGCTCGTCAAGAAGCCTAAAGAAAGGGGATACTGGTTTGTTAAAGACTGAATGGTCATTAACAAGAATGTTATTCCTAGGTTTCTGGTTGTACCCAATCCTAATACTATTCTATCTATAGTTCCACCTGAATGTAAGTATTTTACAGTTTTAGACCTCTTTATTCCCTTCTTTTAGCATCTAGTAGATTAAAAGACAATATTTATTTTCCTTTTCTTCAGATAATTAACATGATGGGACAGAATGTCTCAAGGACTCCCAGAGGCACCTCATACTTCTCCCAGCACTTAAATAGTGATTTAAAAGACAACATTCTCAAGAGGTTCAATTCTCCTTCAATATTCATATTTTTCATCTGACCTAAAAAGCCCCTAAGAAGACTGCTTGAAGAAACTAGCAGCTGAAGATCGTAAGTCTGCAAAGGGAAAATCACAAATCTTTAAAAATATGGTACATTATTTGGAATATAACCTCTTTACTAAAGAACTGACCCTATCTAAAGAGGGTGTTAAATTGATTCAGCAACACATACGCCCAAAACTTAAATCATTATCGGGAGACTTTTTGGGATCCATGGGATATTTTAGAAAATGGATTCCTAATTTTTCCAGTAAAATAAAAATCCCCACAAAACAAAGATAAATGTGTTGGCAGATCATTATGTAAATCAAGTGACTTTTTTGTTGTTTTTTTTCATAGAAATAATTCAGAATATGGGAGATCAATTAGCACATATATACAATTCATTCTGGACATATAAAATTCAGCTTCAGCTTTAGAAAATAAATGTGGCCTAGAATTGGGATCCTCTGTCCACTCCAGCGGTCTCTGGCGTGCCAACTATGATCCCAAATCTGAGAAGGTCTTTGACAAACATGTTTTACCACAGGTCCACCATAGAAGAGATAAGAAAATCTCTAAATAAGAACCAATGAGGAAATTTCTCCTCTGTAGCTGGGACACGGCTGGCTCCTGCCTCACATCCTACTATCATACTCCAGGAAAACTGTGCAAGTGGGACGTGGGTCTCCAGAATACAGATGGATTGTGCCCAAATCGCAAAGTTCAGAATATGTGCTTATAACTGTCTGCAAACTCTTTAGATGGGTTTGAGCCTTCCTATACAGAAAGACATTAACTGCGACTAAGAACTTAGAAACCGTAGACGATAACTTTCCTACCTGGGGAATATCACCTTACACTGGAAGAGTTATAAAGAATCTTATGATGTGTCAACCCTTTGATCAAAAATTCACAATCCACAAACTCTGGGAAATGTACAGTATAAAAACAGTATTATTGATCGTGAATTGGCCAAGCTCTCTGAGGCTCTTGGAATTCCTTGATGAAGAATTTTTTTTTTATTTCAGCATATTATGGGGTACAGATGTTTAGGTTACGTGTGTTGCCCTTGGTTCCCCCCCCCCAATTTTACCCTTAGTTCTGATAGCTATCAGATCAGGTTAGCTCCCTCTGGAACCCATGGACTATTCACCTTCTGAAGTAATAGCCGGAAGATCCATGTGATTACAAGTCTTTCGTTAATCTGAGTCAAACTTGCTTCATGAGGACAACTATTAATAAATATTGTCAAGAACCAACTCATCTATAAATTTAAGAAATCTTCCTGAAAACCTGCCCCCAGAATCTCTCCCTTTCTTTATTTTTATTTCAAAATATTGAGGGGGTATAAATGTTTTTGGTTACATGGATCACTTTTGTAATGTTTGAAATAAAAAAATTCTTATAAAAAAAAGAAAAACATTTTCCTTCTGTGTTTACTTCTTCTTCTTTTTCAGATGCACCTTTCATGGCTATTGGGTCAAATGTTCTGTAAATGTTAGTTAGGTCCATTCATTCTAGAGTTCTGTTTAAGTCCATTGTTTGTTTATTTTCTGTTTGGATAATCTGTCCTCTTCTGTCAGAGGGGTGTTGAAGTCCCCAGTTATTACAGTGCTGCTATTAAAGTTATCAATTTGTTTTGATCAAGTAGGATTTGATTTATTAGAACAAATAGACAACCTACAGAATGGGAGACAATATTTGCATGCTATACATC